ATCAAAACATTCATTTCAACGTGTCATGCTTTTCCACAGCTTATCTGACAGATGCTGGATTTTTTAAGGATCGAAATTTGAGTTTTAAAAGATCTGATATTAATTTCTTAACATATAAACAAATAAATTTGTGATGGGGATCCCTTAAAAAGAATTCCACTGACTAAGAAATCTACTGAATTTTACAGTACTGATAGACAAACTAGGTAATGGTGACATTTTTGAAACTGCCTCAAAATATCTTTAACCCTTTTCAAACATGGAATACTTAACATTGCATTGTCTGTTAAAGTGATGCTTTACGTCTTTCAGTCAGAGATGTCTTTCACGTTAATGTTCCTTACAGGTTAATTCAGATATGACACCACATTTACAGAAGGAGCCACAATATTTCCACACTATTGGCGTCTGGTGCGCTCGCGAGGCAGAGAAAGAGAGAGAGGGAGGCACTGCATCACTGATTGATTTGAAAACTTTAATTTGTTAATTGCTTTCTTAATTCCTATTTGCTCACATGCTGTATGTTAAGCTTTTTACATTTGTCCAAGCGGTTGGCATGAATGAAAAGTGAAAATGTAGGGAGAACTGTTTTTGAGACTGTTGCTGTGGTTGTGACAGGAATTTTTAAGAACTTTGGCTCTTTGACAGGGTTTCATAGTTTATTAAACTGATTTTATCTTCTTTGTGCATAAGAGATGACAATTAATTTAATACAATTTCTTAAATTTATTATAATGATCTTAGAAGGTGAACAAGATACACATTCTCTCTCTCCATCATGACTTAAAGGTTGAGTGTTTAAGTTTTAATGGCATCTAGTGGTGAGGCTTGCAAAACGCAATCAGCTCTCACGGTACATTCACGTTAGTGATGTGCGATACCACTTAATTCCTATCTGATCCAATACCAAGTAATACCCTGGCTGGTAATGCTGATACCAATACTTTGTACATATTTTATTTCTAGTTTAATGTGACCTCCCCTCTCCCGTTTCTGTATTTATGAGAAATAAGGAGTAGGGTAATAGCTGCTAATGACAGGACATCAAACTTAATATCATATAACTCATATTCTGTAATTATAATAAAAATATTCTGCTCAGAACTGCCGCTTCATAACATCATCCTATTATTTTGACTTAATCTCAGATATTTAGCGAAGTTTGCAGTGTTGCCAAAGTTTTTCACTGTCTTTGCGCACACATCACACACAGTGTCATTTTTATCTTCACAGCTAAAATAGAGCCAGACCTGACTGAATTTTACAGTCAGCCATAGTCAGTATTCAATCGCGGGAAATGTAAAGGTCTGCAGCGGCTCACTTCAAAGAAGCTCCGTCACAGAGCCGTAGAGCAAGCATGACTTTGACAGGCGGAAGGAAAAGTAGTTCCTATCAACCGAGTAGTTATAGCATCCTGGTGACAGTAAGATACTTACGATAAAACACACACTCACTCCAAATTACTGAGTTTAGATATTGATCCTTTTATATGAGCAGGAAACGTTGGCATCAGAAATATCGATACTTCAGGATCGATCCGCACATCACTAATTCACATGCTCCTCGGATGGTCCCATTTCCCGAGTTGTGAAGTCATTCTTCTAACTTCAGTGTGTTTTCATGTGCTCTTAAGTCTGAATGTGGAATCAACATGGATGCTACTACAAAGATGTGTTGGATTAACATTATCAGAGCATATAAACAACAACACGCATCTAGTTCCCTCTACATGGACAGCAAATGAATGCACCGCTTTATAAGTATTTTTTAAATGGTAAAAAGTTACACCATGTCTGTTAAATCCCACCATTTTTCTTAGGATTTACTTAGGGGGGGAAAATCCGTATTGAAGGCCTTACACTTCAGCGAGTTGTGTTATGAGTCAATGTCTGTTATTTTCTGTTTTAACTTCAACATGAAATGAACTTTCTCCACAAACATGTGATTGTGGATGGTTCTTTTTATGTGTTAACTCAAGGGCAACCTTTCCAGGGTATACCCCATCACTCAACCAGTGCATGCTGGGAAAGGTTTCAGTCCCCAGTGGCTCTGTAAGGGATAAGCGGGTGTAGAACACAGATGAATGTATCGGTATATTTAATGAAGTCCAATTTAAATTGTATTCAACTTAAGATGATGTGTGATTCAGTATCTTCTCTTATTGTAATTTTTGCACATTTTAAGTTGTTTACTTTGTTTAATTTATATGATTTTTAAATATAATGTAATATTGATTGCCATTTCCTACAAAAGGAGGCAATAAAATATTACAAACCTCCCTGTTTGTTGGCAAAACATAAGGATCCCTGCATCTCTGCTTCATCAGTGACTTCAGTCTGAGCTTCAGGGGATGGTCTTCCTGAAGCAAACCATCTTTGCTCCGACTGGATGAGCTCATTCTCTCTTTGGGAGAACGGACCTGAGCAGCAAAAGCGGAGGAAATACAGTATGTTAACTGAACATTTCTGAAGAATATTTCTAAGCTGGCTTAATTGATGTAAGTGAGAAAGGTAAGACAGGTCTAGCTTGGAGTAATTAGCTGACCGCACAAGTGTTCACTGACCTTCCAGCTCTAGTTATTTCTCTCATGTAACTGTCCTTGTTAGGGAGACAACAGTTACACTGATAAAGGTCAGACGTCAGGCTAGCAGATATCAGTGCGCTCTGGGAATCTGACAAGGTTGAGTCTTCCAAGAATGTTTACAAGAACTTCCTGGCTCCACAGATTAGAGTACAACTCATTGGGAGAGTTATAGATTGCAGTGAGACGTAGCATTGGAGTCTAAACATCAGATAGATTTGTTGTTCTAGGTTAAGGCCAGCTAAAGGTGACCAAATAGGGAAACTACAGGAAGCAGGGGGAAGACAGAAACTTGGTTTCATGTAGAACAGGACGTGTTCACATGTTGTATGCTGGCTATGTATCTCCTCGGCCGGGCTCAATAAACCACGCTATGTGAAGTCTTCATCAGTCTCTGAAACTTCTTTATCACACCTGAACCTGGCTCACAATATTTCTTTAACAAAAATCAGTTGGAGGTTGTTGCAGACTGAAAAAACACTGTATGCTCAAAATGAACTGAAACAGCTGATTATCTCATCAATCCATCTATTACTCACCTTCGACAGAAAGCTGACAGGATGCCGTTGCAGCAAAATGACATTCACCCTGTCTTTAAGAGTTGCACCTTTGCATGCAGCTGATTGTTCATTACTAGAAAAGCCTGACGGAGTCTCCTTCACAAACGGCTCCACTTTCTTCAGCGCGATAGCAACTTTCTTATGTATTATCCGCTCTTCTATCTCTCTAAGCTCTTTCCGCTTTCTTGTGAGCTCAGGATCCCCCTCATCCATTTGAAGCGGCTCTCCATCTGGGTCCTCGGCTTCTGACTCATTAATGTAAAGGTTTTGTGAGGAAGGACTGAGTCCCTTCCATCCCACATTCACTCCCGTGCTGCTTTGTGGTTCATCAACAGTGTACCTTGAGTATTGGCAGTAAGTGTCCCAGTCATTAATAGCTTCTGAGGCAGTCTCCATACGGTTATTAAAACCACTCTGGTGATTTGGGTCCAAACGTCTCTGCAGTGTTCGAAAAGCATCTTCCCAGTCAAGTGGATTCATCCTTCAGCCAGACAGTTTATGAAGTCAGTACACGTTCTGTAAAATGGAAGAAATGTGGGTTAATTAGCACTGAGCTGTCTGCAGACTGTTACTTTACAGACAGTACGTTACCTCCTTCCTTAAAAGAAACTGTCAACTACAATCTGAACAAGCCCCCTGTTAACATGAATCTGTCAGTTACCAAAGGCATTAACTAAACAGTTAAACATTGTCTAATTTTGATGAAAGACAAAAGCTAGCGTTTGAAAACATTATGTAAAATAAGTGATGTGGCAAATTAAGGACCGAACAAACAGCTAAACTGATTAACCGAACAGCAAAATCTCGTTTTGAAGATAGCTTAGCTTGACGGCTAACAGACTGTTTACCTACAACAGCTGCTCAAACAAACAAGCCCTTCCTCTGTCGCATCGCGGGAACAAATTTGAAGGTTGTTACTCCGCAAACGTAATTCTTGAATAGTGAAATGCCGAAACTGAGCTTTGATAAACTCCGGCAGCAGAGGGAATAACAGGAGTTAATGTTAATTATAAATAGAGCTTGACCTGGAGAAGAGGGGCCATACTGCTCTCACTGCCTCGGTGGTGTTGAAATCTGAATGTTAACAGCGCCACCTTCTGGATGGAGTACCAACACGCAGGAATAATTCAAAGTTTAAGGTCACATGATTATAGATGTTTATGCAATTACCTGCAAACAAAAGTGGTGATCAGATTTTTATTTTTTTTTTGTAACAAAAGCTTATAGTAATATTTATTAATAGTATCTGAAGCAGTACAAGAATTTGCATCGAAGATCCAACCTTCACCAGTCAGTTCTTCAGTTTCTAGCTTTTGAAGAGTGGTACTCTTAAGTATTGATTGACCTTCAATACTGGTGCACTGTAGGTCCATGCGAATTCTTGAAATGGTTGGCAGACCTTTACAGGCATCATGGTAAAAATCTTAGGAGACTACGGTATCGCTCAATTAATTTTTCAGGAGCTCTGCGTTCACCTCTCTGAGCTTGAAGGTATGGCAGAGATGAAGTGAAACTGATCAATTTTTAATTTTTTAAGTGATAAATTTTGTCATTTATCAAGTAAATACACATTATCTACATCAGTAATTGAATACCTGTGGTCATTAATCCTAATATAAAGTTGTTTTTGTTTTCAGGGACTCTGCCTTACTCCTGGGTGAAATGGTGATTAGATTAACCTTCTTTGTATAGAAATAGATGTGAAATAAGACACTCCAAGTGCTAACCATTTTCCAAAAGATGTAGTCTCCTGTACTATGTACAGGTCCATGACAAAAACTCAATGTGACATTTTGACTTTTGTACAAGGCAGTCCCATCCCACTTTTTTCCATGAAAATCAGAAGAATTGCACAGCCCTTCACAATTTACTTAGAATCATTGTGTTTAATATTATGCAATTCAAATATTTACACAATTTCCTGCATGTGTACACAAAGACAGAAAACACAGAAGCTTGAAGGATCATTGTGGGGTTTTTTTTAACCCTGGGCCTTATTTTCAACTATTTTGGTGATGAAATTACCAGTAGGTACAGAGAGTTTTGGAATCCATGCAGTAGATGGTTTAGTGAACCGGCTGCAATATTCCTTTGAGGCAGTTGTGCCATCGTGCCCGTCACAATGAAGGTTTAAGGTGAAGAAGGTGTCATGAAAGGATCCCTACAATTAACAGCCAGTAGACATATGTGGCAAAAAGCAGCATTTTTGCCGAAGTCAATTTGACGGGCAGAATTGACCTGGAGTATGTTGCAGCCACGGCAGCTGCAGCCATCTACTGCACGGATTCCAAAATCTTTTGTACCTACTAGTAAAAACCAAAATATGTGAAAATTTATCCTTTAAATGACTCTTGTAGACGTAGATTACCCTCAGAAGACTTAAACAGCTGACTATGGCGCAATTTCACTAGGATAAAAGGCCTGTATCCTACGAGAGATCTCTGCAGACAAATATACTTTCAACAAAAACATATAACATCATGTTTTAACAAATTATGAATAAGAAAATTATAAAACAAAAGTTTTCAAAAATCAATTAACACTGTTTTCTTTAGCATGATATTGTATTGTTATAAGAACAGACTGAACAAAACAACACCTATAGGTTTGTCTATGGTCAACAACTGTTCACTGTCGATTTCCTCATTTCTGGCCTTGCTTTTTGTTGCTGCTGGACAGGTTGCTTGCGCATGTGCAATGCTGATTTAGTGTTTTGTTTTGTGGTTCAAACGAGACTCCCTGAAGGCCCAAATGAAGATTCAATCAGATTTCCCCCCTATGCAACCGTCTTCATCCCGGTTGTGTGGTTTCAATAACCTGCAAACAGCGGGGTCTTGACATGGTTTTAGGTTTCTGTATGGTGTTCAGAGGCTGAGGTGGATTAGTATCTGGAAAGTTAAAAAAGTGTGGCCGAGGATTACTCAGGTGTTGCGGGACTAAATGCCTCGTTTGAGCCAGTACAGCAGGGAACATGTTTAAAGGTGGGACGCAGGGGTAAGGGAGGAAGGGAGGCAGGCGAGGCAAGAAAAGCCCAGGTCTAACATGGGGCAGGTTAGGAGGCAGAGCTGGGTATGGCAGTGGAAAGCAGTTTACTGGAGAGTACATTGGCATCACAGGTGGAGGAGATGGCTCTGATAGAGTGTATGTAGGATTTTGAGAAAATGCTTGACATGTAGCAATGCTTTGCTGAGAGTTAGTTTCACAGTTTTTACTCTCCTTTAAAGTGCTACTGCTGCTATTCTGACCATAATCTACAGCTGGCTGTGCCTGTAAGCAGTTTACTGGAGAGTACACTGGCATCACAGGTGAAGGAGATGGTTTTGACAAAGTGTATGTTGGATTTGGAGAAAATGCTGGAGATGTAGCAATGCTTTGCCGGGAGTTAGTTTCACATTTCTTACTATCTGGTAAAGTGCTACTGCTGCTCTGCTGACCATAGTCTACAGCTGGCTGTGCCTGTGTTACATCCCTCTTAGCACTATAGGAGTCTTTTTTCTTGTAATATTCCCGAGTTGAAGGGCTAAAACTAGACCTGCTTGAGGATGATCTACTTTGTGGTGTTGGTGAAAGCGCCCGCCTTGTGTCCCATTCCCTGCTTCCTCTACCATGGCCACGGTCACTATCCTTCTTTCCGTATAACCGCTCCTGGATCCGATGTGACATTTGGCCCAGTTCCTCAAATCCTAAATTCAAGCCAATAGCCTGCAGAACATCCTGCATTTGCCTGTGCTTGTGCTCATCTTCAGGTGTCAGTGTTATCTTTTCCATCACTGAGGGAGACCCGGATCTACTGTTGGAGCTTAAGTAGCTTTGTTCTCCCTCACCCCTTTGCAGAGACTTCACATCAGACAGAGCGCCCCCATTTGGGCTGAAGGACCTGTGACGAGGGTGTGGAGAAGCCAGTCTCTGGGATCCCTCGCTCTCACTCCAGTGGCTGGTATTTTGGTGGTTTTCCTGTTGCCTCCCAGCACAACTGGGAGACCACAGACGATCTGCAGTGCTCATGAAAGAAGTTGGAGAATGCGGTGGATCATCCACTTCTGTAGCGTTCTGATTCACTATCTTGGTGAGCATGGCGACATTCACACCCTTGTTGAGCACGTCGAGGAAACGCTGGAAACCCTTGGTTGACGACTTCTGCTCAGGAACAGCAGCAAATTGGTTGGTGACATCACTCTCAAAGGACTGATGGGAAACAAGGAAGGAACCACAGTTCATGGAAGTATTATCTGCATTCTTTAATACATTTGTAGTAACCTGCGAGAAATGTGTAAAAATCAAACATAGGACAACAGCCCTTTCTGTCCGAGTGAATTGGGGGCCTCTCGTATTTTATTTGACTTAAAATGTTTCGTTTAGAAAAATATAGTGTTTTAATTGGCTAAGGTGATTGGTTCCCTTCCAAGCTGAAAAGCTAGCTCTTTCACCTTTCAGTGATTGGACCAAATCAAAAGACTAACATACAGGCGTGTCTGGGTGTTGCCAAGGCTACATTTGTAGCTCCACAGTAGATTCAGCGGTTGTAATGTTGGTTGCTAGGGAGAAACCACAATAACTGTGCAAGTTGTGTTTACATTCAGTGTTACTCACCAAAAAGCAGTGTGTATATCCGTGGTGAATGCATTTCATTCCTCAAAATATTAGCCAAGGACACGTTTACTCATTAGCAGTCTTCTTCTCTGCCTTTGCGGGAGTATGACAGCATATCTTGGCGTGTTAGTGCCATCTGCTGATCAGCACAATAGTGTGAAAGAATTGCAAGAAATATGTATTGTGTGTCAACCCTATGTGCGCTGGTGCACGTCTGTAGCTCCACAGGGAACCTTTAAGGTGCATTACAGCTTACGGTGTATTCTTACAAAGATATTAGTAAAGCAATGTACATATGTTAGACAGCCGAATAGCTGTCTATTAAGAAACTCTAAACTGCATCACAGCTTTCGGTTGATGGTCACCTACAGCAATTTGTATGGTGTCCAATATCTGTTTTGAACTATAATGTATCTATGGACAGTGTCTCAGTATGGATCTGGTGTTGCAGTAAGGTTAGGTCAGAATGTAGGCACACTGCACATCTCCAGAATTAACGCTTTTTAGGGAAAAATGCAAATCGGGGTACCCGAGCGGATCTGCCCGCACCTCTCACTGATGATAAAGGTAGTTTCTAACTGCCACATGTCAAATAAACCCACCTGTCCACTAGATCCATTCAGTGGAAAATGTGTTCTTTTGCTTTGACGATGATCCTCATGATCTGGGCTGTCATTCCTCTCTCTGGGTTTGGCATAACTCTGTTTAATATGGAGGAATATATTAATAAACATTTTTTAAAACAAACTGTCACAATCCTTGACATTAAGCAAACACATATTGTTTATTATGACTAACCTTTGTAGAGCGTTCTTGTGATCGTGTCCTCTCTCGTGAACAGCCCCGGCTCCTTTCATGACCATCCCTGGCTTTGGTATATCCGAAAGACTCCCGGCAAGTAAAATCATCATGTTGTTCCCTGTAGGTGATCTCTTCATCTCGATATCGGTGTCTGGAGTCTTGAGGTGTTTTCCTGTATTTGAAATCCTCTTCCTGTGGTAGTGTATGTTTAAGGTTCTTGGTTATGTATGCACGTGAAAAATTGTCTGGTGACTTTCTGCTAGTTTTATCTTCAGGCTCACGCCTGTATCTGTATTCTTTTTCATCATCCTGTGCAATCATTCGCCTTTTCTTTTCAGAAGCAGCCCAATCAGGTGAAGACATGCGTCTCCTTACTGGGCTCTTTCTGCTCCAGTCTCTGTTCAATGGGTCTTTACTGTACAGCCTCTTGGGCGAGTCACTGTACTCCCTACTTCGGCTTGTCTTCTGTATGCTACTTTGTCCATCCCCACCATATTTATGATAAGAATCACGCTGTACATCTCTGGGAGGTTCACGCCTTTCTTCCCATTTGTCATCATAATCTTCCCACTGCCTTGAACTTCTGTCACTGTGCTGCCTCCTGTACTCAGACCTGTTTGAGTACATAATTTCACAGCAACTCCACCAGTTTAGTGGATGTCAAAGACTGCAGAAAAAAAGAAAACAAAATGAGTTGTAAAATCATGAGGTAAAGAATTAAAGATTGATGTGCCAAACCTTGATCAATCACTTATCTCACATGCACATTTTACTAAATAATAGTATTTGGTCTCTTACGAGCTCTAAAAGCATTGTGGTTCATCTGAGTGTAAGTTTGTCTTAACTGAAGGTAGAGCTGGGCAATAAAACAATAATGATAATTATCGCAATATAATTTTCCTCAATGACAATATAATAAATGTTAAATATATTGTCAATAAATATTTGGTTTAATTCATTTGAATCACAGACAAATTAGCACTTAGTATTTCTCATAAAATGTTTATTTTGTTGAAGAAAATGAACTGAAAAAATATTTACTAATCATATTTGTTGAAGAAAGGTTTTATCAAAATAGTTTTGAATGTTCTACCTCAGCTTTGTTGAGTGATACGCTGTTTGGCACCAAATGTTTGTCACATTCTGACCATAAAGAAAAGTTTAACCATATAATTAACCACCTGGTTCCTTTAATTTTCATTCAGGAGCAAAAAAACTTTTAAATTTGAAAGAAATAATGATTTGACTTATATATCGTGATAATTATAGATATCGAATTGTATGAAATTATTTTATCGTGATAACATTTTTGGCCATATCGCCCAGCCCTAACTAAAGGATATCAAAGAAAATCAGTAAAGTTGCAGCACTCCATGGAGAAGAATAAAACATTTCCATCACATCAGGGCTGTAAAGAAGAAAACATGGAGAACCTGCAGTTTACAGTTCATTCATACCCATGAAGATGTCTATTTGCCACTTTTAAGCAAATATAAACCTTTATGCGATTCTTGAAGAAAAGGAGAACCTCAAATATGTTGAGGCTGAAGTGTTTGAACCCCTTCTGGTGACTGAGGTTTGCACTGAGCTTTGATGGAGAGGTTAACGCTTCGGTACCTTCTAACCTTTGGTTAGTCAGCTAACAGTCAACATTAGCGGTTTGCTAGTCCGTCAGCACAGAAGCTAGTTAGCTTTAGGTGCTACGAAAAGACCACAGTCGTAACTAATTATAACGGATAAGTGTAATTCCAGATCACAGCGACACATTTTGCGCACCCCCCGCGGCCTGGTGTTCAGATAAAGCAGCTAACGTTATAGCGAAAGCTAAACTGCAGGGTTTTTTTTTGGTAAACGTTGGCAATACTCACGTTAGCGTTGGGTAACGTTAGCAGCCTAGCGTCACATTAATGTTACCTTTTCCCGCTGGACAACTCCGCTTTCTTTAATCAGGGGGGAAACTGCTGGAACTAGGCTTGACAATTCGTGCAAGTCCTAAAAACAAACTGTCGAGCAGGTTAGGATTTGTAACCAGATTTCACTGGCGGCGGCGGCACCAAGGTGTTTGGGTTTCAACCTCCTCCGCTCAGAGAGAGAGGATTTAACTTACCGCCACCTGCTGGATGGAGTGGGAACTATCCGCTGCTGCTTCTTCTTCTTCGGAACTTATTGACGGTTGACTAACAACCCTAAATGTGCATTAGCGCCACCTACTCAACTGGGGTGGAGCGGTAGACAAACAGCAAGACGACCTAAAGCTAAAGCGAAAATCCACTTTTTATTTGTTAAACTGGTCCAGAGATTTTTTGACAGTGAAGTTACACGCACAACTTCTTAAACTTAAAAGTCACTCATAGATAGTTTATTCTGAATGTTTGTTTGTCTTACAGGATCAGAAACAAATGTCCCTTACTGCTGCTGTCAAATCATCCATGCAGTTGCTTTATCAATATGAAATGTCTATATGGGGCAGCTCCAGGATTTTTCTCTAGTTAAAAGATCACTTCAGTCTTTTCTATTGCTTTCTGATTTAAGGATAAGGTGTTCAAATTTCTCAAATTATAACAGAGCTGCACTTTAGCCTATTAAAGAAATAATGTTCTGTTTCTTTTTACAGTAAAGGGAGGTAGTAGTGACTTTTGTTCATAACATCAAAATAATGTATACTCCACAAAGATTTCTATTCATATCCAACTAAGTCAGATGATGAACATACTGAAAGTAAATTGAAGTATGGAAACAGAAATATTAAGGCTGCACATTGTTGGTAAAATATCACAACATTTTAGACCAAATGCCTCAGTATCAATAATGTGACAGTATTTTACGGTTCTTACGGTTCTTATGTCGGTTTACCCCGCACACACTGCACCACTAGGGTGGCCAGAAAGATTACAACGCACTCGGGACAGATTATGCACATTCTTTATTAGATCTTTCCCTACAGGGAGCCATCAAATGAAACCCCATTCATTTGCAACAATAAACAGAAAGTTAAACAAATGCCATACTCACAGTATTTGTGCAACGTCACACAGCTCTACATAGGCGCCTGTGTAGTCTACATCATTATACTCACTAATGAGGTGCAGTCATTGCTCCCTGGGTGATACAGATGATTAGTATGCATTGATCACAAGTGCAGTTTAGACATTTAGTCTGTGTTAATGATGGAATGGTGTCAGGGATGTGTGTTGCGTGCGTGAGGCGGAGGCCAAACAGACGAGAAACACAGAGTTTTTAATCAGTCCCAGGGCCTTGTCCTGCCACTCTGCGAGTGCTAGAGATGTCCACGTGAGGGCACTGCAACAGAGGACAGGTAGACACAGCACAGGTTAAGAGCTTGTTTAGCTTTGCTGGGAACAGTCACATAGTTTATTATATTGTATCATTACATTACTGTAGGTGTACAGTAATGTAATGATACAATATAATAAACTATAATGTCGACAGGTTCCTATATGTATATAGGTACTTCTGCACTATTTTGTGTCTTAAATTCACTGTTACTTGTGTGATTTTGTTTTTATACATATTGTTTGAGCATTATTGGAGAGAGCCTGAGAATTAAGAATTGTTTTGCGATATTATATATATTCCTTTTTTTAAAATAAAATGCGTCATTATAAATGAAGCATCGTGGTGCTAAAAAGATGCCCCAGCCCACAAATTATGTTCTCCACACAGATAACATGCTTGTCTGGTACAGACCCCAGCAAAAAACACTTTTTATATATTTTTTTCAATTAAAGTGAAAATGCAAAAATTTCCATTCCCAGTAAAATCCCAACTCATGACTTGCACAATCTTTCAAAACAATCGCAATATGATTTTTAAAAATTATATATATATATATATATATATATATATATATATATATATATATATATATTGCATATCATTCATCCCTAAATTGAACTTGAACTTTCAAGTTCACCTTATGACCTTGCTGACAAGATGATTGTTAAAATCGCGTTTAACTAATTTTGCAGATTAGAACTTTAACAAGCTCACACTGCAGGATCATGGACAGGTTTGTTCAGATTTCAGCAGTAAAACTCCTTGTAATTGTTCTCACGGACACAAGATATTTAAATCCTCAGTACCGGCACAATCTGTTCTTTTTTCCCCAGACAATTGCACCCTCTCCATGATTAATCATCATCATATTGGGTTTGAATCAGACGCTATATTATGTACTTTGCTCTGAAGATATGCAGAGATGCTGCCAAGTTAACATAATAATGACTGACTTTCTGACTCCTGCAAAAGCAGAGCTCACCTTTTTCAAGGTGCTTTTTATACCATTTTCTACTGGTTTATGACCTGAACATATACTGACAATGTATTCTGTATTGCTTTTAGAAGTTATTGTCATTGTCATGCATAGTCATCACTATATTATATATAATCATCTCTAAAGGGTTTCTCGGCTCCAAAGATGCAGTTTGAAGTTTCCCCTTAACAACAAAAGCACATTCATGCACGATAAAACACCAATCACAGCTGCTGAAGCCTCCCACCTCCTCACTGGTAGAACTTAATCTCTGTGTCCACGCAATCAAAAAACAAGTCCCCCAGTTCTTCTCCTGGTAACTCTCCTCTTAGCATGGCTGTAATCTCGCTCAGACACTGCGACTCCAGGTCCCTCAGAACCTCATAGACTGCAAACCCCTCGTCCTGACACAGAGAGAAAAAGACAGAGAGATGTCAAAACAACAGCAACACCTGGGTCCAACAGTACTTGCATGTAGAACCTGCTTATTCAGGGCAGTCATTTGATGAAAACCTATACTACTAAAAATATGTAATATACCATGTCCATTTACAAGAATACAGATCTTTGCCTTTTGAAAGTCCAGAGTCTAATTCAACCAGACGTCTGTGGCGGTAGGTGCAGACTTAATGACAGCAGTTGCACACCTGCTGTCACGCACCTCCATTTCCTCTACATGCTAATCTGGGTTTTTATATACTCTAGCTGCTCACCAAAACAACAGGCAATAGTCGTGTCCCAATTACACACACAGGAAATTATGCTTACATGCACCAAAAAACATCGACCAGACTGCGCCTGAGAAGAACCTTACTCTACCTCAGTTATTATATAATAAGCTCAATGCCGGGTCATTATCTGACACTGACTAAACGGCTTCATTGGAAAATGTCACTTTGTTTTGAAGTATTATTGCCTCCCAGGATTCTCATGTTGGCGTTGCACAGTGTAATAATGATTGAAACCCTGCTCTTTGGCTTTGAATGTGTACTCGTAACATGTTTATGTTTAGTCTACCATGTGTCTTGTCTACTAACTGTGAGGTCCTGTTGTGTTTGCTCTGCACTGGGAGTGTCAGTCCTGTGCGGTGCAACTCGCCTATAATTTGTCAGCAACAACTGACCAAGTTCAACTCTGAATAAAAATTATTCTGCTTTGGTTGTATAGTAGTATATTAGCCTAGAATTTGTCTGGAACCTCATTTTTGATTTCCAAGGGGCGCAGACCAAATTGCATCTGGGAGCAATTGGATAGACCAACAACCAATGAAAGCAATGAAATGTGACCACCTAAAAATATATATAATACCATGTACATTTACAAGAATACAGAGCCCACTCTTTGCCTTTTGAGCCCCGAGTCTAATTGAATCAGACATCTGTGACGGGAGGAGCAGACTTAATGACAGTAGATGCACAACTCGTGATCAGTTGGTAAAGTAAACTTTGACCAAATCCTGTCAAAAGTACTGCAAAAACATCTTTCTTATCAACAAAAGCCTAATGTTAGCCTGTAACAAAAAGGTTAATTTAGCTAACAGCTAGCTCACTAGGGTTGGCTATAGCAAGCAAGCTTTTCTCCTGGTTTGTTAAAACATACAGTAGGTACCAAGTAAAATGACTTCAGTTGTTGCAACTGCAGCAATTTAACATTAGCTAGCTAATGACAGCGTTAATGAATAACTGTCGAATTGACTTCAATCCTAATTGTTAACATTGACCGGGTTTCATACCAGGAACCGGTCCAAGTCGGCTGGAAATCTGTCAGAGCAAATAAAACATGAGCTCGCAGATTTGTCTGGTTCCCAGACTAGATGTATATGAAATGAATATGAACTTCCAGCTCTGCCAGGATCTGTACAGGACTATCATTGACCTAGTTGATCATCAATGCCCACCGGGTTGGTCTCCATGGTGTTCAGCGCCACCTGATGGGCCTTGTACAGGTCATGTCTGCGGTCCACCTGGCTCTGAAAGCGAGGCTGCTTCCTGACAGGATCATCTGGGCCGAACTGTGGAGAGACCACTCTCAGCACTGGGGTGGAACAGTCCGAGAAGATAAAAGGCTTGAATATAGACCTTCCGGGGTACGGGTGGGGCGTGTTGGCAGGGAGGGGAACAGGAAAGAGAAAACAGACTCAGAAACTCCCATAACCCAAAGTGAAGACAGAATGCAGGAAAAGCAAAGTGGAGGAGGGAAAGAATGTTAGGATCTCTGCTGCAGTGGTCTAAACACGGTCATTGAGGCACTATGAAACATGTTTTGCAAACTTTTAACATATATATTAAAGTTTCTTAGAAAAACTATGTATTTTAATCCTAATTATAATGTTCTTACGTAAAAACATATAAGTTCTGAGATAGAGTTTATTATCAATTTCCCAGAAGAACTGCCCTGAAAGAACTGAGTATTTATTAATTCTTTATTAATTTATCTTCATGTTCAGCTGACTTGCAGTGCAGTGCTTATGCTAGCTTAGCATTTGGACTTATTGGAAGTATACTATGTAATATACCAATCACTCTCTATTTTCCCAGTAATTAGTACCAACCTGCATGCTGCTTTCTAGCAATTTATAAAACATTACTTGTTATTTTAACCTGTTTTCCCCTGATTTCTGAGAATTTCTAAAACACAGAACTGAAACAAGTAAGATATGAATCAGTGTAAAAACCTTACAAAAGGAGTTTTGTCCTATATTATGGCAGTGTTGCATGAGACTGCATGGGAGAGTTATTTAAAACAGCAAATTTGACAGCTTTCATGTACAGCAGTTGGCTAAAGTGAAGCAGAATACACAAAAAAAGTTTCATATATGAATGTT